TCCCCCTCATCCCATCCCTCCCTGCCCTTGTCCCAAGTCCCTCCCCAGCTTTCCTGGAGCCCCTTCAGGCACTGGAAGCTGCTCTAAGGTCTCCCTGGAGCCTTCTCTTCTCCAGGCTGAACACCCCAGCTCTCCCAGCCTGTCCCAGAGCTGCTCCAGCCCTCCCTCCCGTGGCCTCCTCTGGACTCAGCTCCTTGTCCTTCTTGCTTTGGGAGCTCCAGCAGTGGCCCCAGCCCTGCAGGGGGGTCTCACAGGGCAGAGTGGAAGGGGAGAATCCCCTCCCTGGCCCTGCTGGTCACACTGCTGGGGATGCAGGCCAGGGCATGGCTGGTGTCTGGGCTGCCAGCACACACTGGGGGCTCCTGATGAGCTCCTCCTCACCCAGCAATACTGCCACTGATCTGGAGTTAAATAGCTGAGACTAGACTGAATGGACTCCCTTCTCTACTTTGAATATTGGGGAAGGCAATTAACTACTTAACGAATTTACCACTGACTCACAGCTTGGCTGCACTTCAAGAAGAAAACCTTGTTCCACCCTGACAGTGACACAGACACCCCAGCCCTGCCAGCACCAGCTCTCCCAGTCTTACACCCGGCTTGACAAAAAGCTTCTCTTCCAGAAGCATCACTTCCCTAACCATCAAATCCACCCCCAGCAGGTCTCAGTGCTGATTCTGGAGGAATGATGAATGCTAATTACCTTGCTCTGGGACAACTCGTTAGTAACTGACAGTGTCTCCAGTGTGACACACCAACAGCTCTGACACCCTCACCGAGCGCTCCCAACCATCGGGTGCCAAACATCTCAGCCAGACCTTCCAAGAAGAACAGGGGGGGAACTGACTCCTTACCGAGATGTTCCACATCATTTTGATAGCTAATGGAAAAGCCTCTTTTGACTGGTGCTTGTCCTGGGCCGGGTCACCACCGGGCTGCAGGGCTGGCTCCTCCCCTGAGCTGCTTTCCACCTGCCCCCGGGCTGGGGGGGAAGGAATCGCTGCTTCGTAGACAGCAGCACTGCAGCCCTTCCCGATGGGCTGCCCGATGAGATACTCCTCCAGCTTGAAGCCCTGCCAACGAAAGGAGCTCAGGGGATCTTTCTGAGGCTTGTTCTTTCCAACAAACACCGTCTGGAGGGAAGAAGGAAAGACAAGGATTAAAAACAAACCCCACTCGGTTATTCAAGACGTTCCAAGGAAGAACTTCGGTGAAGTTCATGGGGTGGGATGTGTCCCTTGGGGTGGGCACCCCTGAAAGCCACCACTGTGAAGGGGTGACAGGAAAGCTGGGGAGGGACTTGGGACAAGGGTCTGTAGTGAGAGGGCAAGGGGGAATGGATTAAAACTGGAAGAGGGAGATTGAGGTGAGACATGAGGAGGGAATTCTGGAGTGTGAGGGTGGTGAGAGCCTGGCCCAGGTTGCCCAGGGAAGCTGTGGCTGCCCCATCCCTGGCAGTGTTGAAGGGCAGGTTGGATGGGGCTTGGAGCAGCCTGGGCTGGTGGGAGGTGTCCCTGCCCATGCAGGGGGGTTGGGAATAGATGATATTTAAAGTCCCTTCCAACCCAAACGAGTGTGAGAGTCAATTAAATCACTGTAACAACAGGGAAAATAATTTGCAGACCATGTATTTTTGTCTGAGACAAATCACCCCTAAAACACTGTGCACCAAAGGTGACCTTCCTGAGGATGAGGAATGGGGAGGGAGAGTCTGTTACTAAGCTAGAAGTATGTTTTTTAAAGACAAGGGTAACTAAATATTTCTAAAAAGAGCTGCATTATGACACTCTCTTCTCCACAAATAAATCAGGCAAAGAGCATTTTAAAGAAAATCCAATTAAGAGCAACAACAGAGGAACAAAAACCCAAACAATGCCCTGAGCTTTTGTGGCAGCAGAGCAAGAGGGTTGGGTAGTTTGAGGAAGAGTTAAATGAGTGATGGGAGAGAGCTGGGGGAGGAAATGGAGAGGAAATAAAGGACAGGAGGGCTGTCATGGTGTGTAACCAGAGTGATCCTGAAAGCTCCTGGAAAGGCTCGGGGGGAATGTGTTTGTTGCTGGTTAGTGGGACAGGTGACAGCTGGCTGGGAACACCAAAGGGCTATTTTTATCCATGAAACATGGTCAGCACCATCCATCCCTCATGCCCTGCCAGCACAGCCCAGACCAGCCACACAGGTCCCCTGTGCTTTGGGGAGAGGGGACAGACCTTGGGGGTCCACGCCAGCCTAGACCTCCAACACCAGGGCCTCAGCCCCCTCCCATTGTGGGGGGTACAGGAGTGAGGGGCTCCCCCCTGTGAGGACCCCCCCAGGACCTGCTTTTGGGTGGTGAGGAGCTGCTGACCAAGAGCCTTGCCCAGTACCCTATTTTTGGGGAGGAGAAGGTGTCTGTGGGGCTGCCCACAGCAGTTCCCCCTTCAGAGGTGCCTGAGGGTTGTTCATAGCACCCCCACACCTTCTTTGGGGGGGGAGGGGGGGGGAGGATGGGGAGGTGGCCCTGAGGGGCTCCCCAGAGCAAGGACACCTCCTCCCCTTCACAGAGGGTGCCTGAGAAACTTCCCTCAGCAACGACCCCCATTCCCTTCGTGAGGGGTGTCTGAGAAGATTCCCCACTGCAGAGACCCCACACCTCTTCCAGGGGGTGTCTGAGGGGCTCCCCACAAGGACACCCCTCTGAGGAGATGTCTGAGGGGCTCCTCACAAGGACCCCCCTCCAGTCCCCTTCAGGAGAGCTGCCTGAGAGGCTCCCCACTGCAAGGACCCCACATCTCTTCCTGGGGGTGTCTGAGGGGCTCCCCACAACAAGGACACGCCCCTGAGGGGCTCCTCACAACAAGGGCACCCCTCTGAGGGGCTCCCCACAAGGACACCCCTCTGAGGAGGTGTCTGAGGGGCTCCTGACAAGGGCACCCCCCTGAGGGGCTCCTCACACCAAGGACCCCCTCCAGCCCCCTTCATGAGGGGTGTGTGAGGGGGCTCCCCACAACAAGGACACCCCTCCAGTCCCCTCCACGAGGGGTGTCTGAGAGGATTCCCCACTGCAGAGACCCCACATCTCTTCCTGGGGGTGTCTGAGGGGCTCCCCACAGCAAGGACACCCCCTTGAGGGGCTCCCCACAACAAGGGCACCCCCCTGAGGGGCTCCCCACAAGGACACCCCTCTGAGGAGGTGTCTGAGGGGCTCCCCACACCAAGGACACCCCCTTGAGGGGCTCCCCACAACAAGGGCACCCCCCTGAGGGGCTCCCCACAAGGACACCCCTCTGAGGAGGTGTCTGAGGGGCTCCCCACACCAAGGAC